GACCCCATCTATTCCGACCTCATCGTATTTGAAAGAGCGAGGATGGAGGAGGGAGGAGATCGTTGTCGTTACTGTCGGGCCGAGATGTCAGATCGAGGTTGGTTCTGGGGAGGGTCCCCTGCTGCTCTTCTTGCTTGTTGGATGCTCCTGTGCATCCCGGGGGAGGGCACACTCGAGGAGGGTGTCTTTGGGATGATTTGGCCGGCTGATGACCTCGGTCCCCCAGCTCGTTGTCACCCCCGCCCCTTCTATCAGCAGACTCTGCCCTGAAGGACGCGAGAGTCCTTCTGAGGCACGGCCGTGGTGTTCGGGTGGGCGTTCGGTCGGGTGGGGCCGCTCGTCGACCTGGACCCGTGGATCGCTTTAGCGATTGAGGAGATCGTTGCTGTTATCGGAGACGCCTGCGGCGACGCACCGCCGCCCCCTGCCTCTCAAGAGCGCCCATGTGCTCGCTGTGGCCAGAGCTCGGCCACGGCATCGGATTGCGTGTTCCCCCAGCCGTTGCGGGAGCGAGGGGGGAGAGAGAGAGAAGAAGGAGACCTCTCGAGAGCGTTTGGGGAACTTGTGAGGCCTCCTGGGGGGCCTCTTGGGGGCCTCTTGGAGGCTTCCTTGGGCCTCTCGGGGGCGGGCGTTGGGCAATGTTCGCTTGTCTTGGGCGTCCGTCGCCCGCCTGACACCATCGGAGGCCGTCTTGGGGCCTCTCTGGGCCGTGTCTTGGCCCTCTTGCCTCCTCCGTCGTCCACTGCGCGGGGGGGGCGATGAGGGGGGGCAGCGAGGTGGGCGGGCTGGCCTGGCTGGGCGTTTCCACTAACCCACGTCTGCCGAAGGTGGCCTACCCGAGGTAGGTGTCTGGTTTCTCCCCATGCGACGAGACCCTGGAACAATTGTGTCAGACCCCGAACTCAGAGAACGGGCTGGGGAACTCACGGAGCGTCGAGACCCTCGTACGGAGCCAGTTGACGTCCTGATCGTGTTGCGCCAAGAGCGTTTAGGGTCCGCAGTGTGCCCGGTAAGGCTAAAGAGGGCTAGAGGAGCATGCCGATAGGGTTTCCCAAGATACCGACGCCGATGCCATCGCAGAAGTTTACCAATATCGCACCGTAACGGGAGGGGCGGGGAGGAGAGGGGAGGGGAACAGGAGATAGTTGGAAGCGGAGGAGGTGGGAGGGGGGAGAGGCGAGAAATGGAGGACGAGGCGGAGAGGAGAGACAAAGGGGGAAGAGAGGAAGGGCGTTTCCTCCTTATCATCCTCGTCCTCTGCATCCACCTCTTGAGGGTCCTGGACTTCAAAGGCCTCCAGAGTCGCAAGAGGCGCTCAGAGATTTCAGGAGGCGTAATGCAGCTTCAGAAACGTAAGAACGTAAGAACTACACACAACGTCCTGCTCTTTCCCTCTCCTCCTCCTCCTCCTCGCTCCTCCTCCTCCTCGCTCCTCCTCCTCGAGAAATTCACGAAGCGCGTGCAGAGCTGGGCACAAAGGCACCTTGGACTTTTCTTGAACAGCATTGTGTTCAACACGTTCATCATATCGGTATTGAGTTTCGTGATGCAGCTTCAGGATTTGCCGGGGGACATGGATAACATCTTTTCTTGGGCGTTACGCCGCCTGGCTCCGGGCCCTGGGAACTGGATCATGCCTGAAGATTTGTGCAACTTACGGACGGCATTCGGGTTCAAGTTTTCATTCGCTCAACCTCGCTGCGTTGCACGGGCCGCTAAGCTGAGAGTGATTGAAACTGTCGCCCCGGACTGCAAAGAGCGCGTCGAAGAGTTGCGCATGCTTGATGAAGGAGTACTGCAAGGCCCGTTCGGGAGCTGGCACGCCAATTCTTTGTTCGCAATCCTGCACCGCACAGAGCAGCAACTGGAGAAGGACGGGATCAGCCGCAGCCAGATCCGGAGGGTGCTGAACGGCCCTGCTGGGTTTGGTCCAGCCAGCTTCCAGTCTATTGCAACCGATCTGATCAATCGCGATTGCCGACCTGACCATCTACAGCGCACTGCTCGCAAGCTTGCCCGGTGGAAGTTTCCAGGCGACGAAGCGGCGCTGGTGGCGCGCGCCCAGGAGGCTTTCGAAATTCTGCATAAGTGGTGCCCGCCCAGGGTGGCGTCGGCATACCTCCGCACGTTATTCAACGGCTGGGCCACCCGTCGTCGGATGAGGCACGCAGAGAAAGATGGGGTCGGCGAGCCGTGGCAGTGCTTACTCGGCTGCAAGAGCGGCGACGACAGCATCGAACACTACAGTATATGTCCTGCTGTGTGGAGCCATCTGCAACGAGACAGACCTGCTGGATTGGGCGTGAAATCGCCGCCGACTATGCTTGCATTCTTCCTCCTGGACCCAGGAACTTCTCCAGAAGATGTCGTGCGAATGGCGCTGGTCAATTACGGCGTGTACCGCACTACCAATTACCTCCGGTTCACGCCTGCGGCAACGGGCGTGTCGCCCCAGAAACTGCTGTGCCGCTGGGTCAAGAGGGGCGCGGAGAAGTCGCGA